TCCTCTCTCACAATTAGCCACAGGAAGTCTTTCTTCCTGATAACTCCACCACCCTCTGGTTGTTCCTCTCATTCACACCCCTCTGCTCCCTTGTATTTGGTTAATACTGTGTCAATTTGCACTTAACTTGGATGTTGTTTTAATACATTCTCAATCCTTGTTTTATGTGTATGTGTACATTCTACATCCCTAAGAAGGCTGTAAGCCCCTTGAGGGCAGGGACTGTGTCTTCCACTTTTTTTGCATTTCTTTTTCTATCCTGGGTTCTAATACAAAGAGGGCTTCTCTGCACTTGGCCAAGAACTCAATAAACGTTGACCTACTGGCTGGCTTCAGAGCTGGCAGACCCTTTGACTCTGGCCAGCGGTTAACCAGCTAACTAATGGATTCTGACTGACTAGCTAGTAACTGCCAAATTGGTTAGTTGTTGATTGGGGAGCTGACTGGCTAACTGACTAGCAGCCCGAGTGCCTGGTTTACTGCTGGCCAACAAGTTGGGCAACCCATTCAAGTTTCCAGTCACACCCTGTGCCAAACACAAGCCAGTGCCTTAGGGCCTTCCCAGGTGTAGGGTGACATGTCTGAGCCACTCCCAGGAGATAGGGGATCTGGCAGATGTTCCACACCAGGGGAGCCTATTCAGAAAATAACAAAAACAACACATTTGGGATCCTGGGGTCCACCTTGTGGGTACAGAGAGTGGGTCAGAGGGACACTGGCAGGGTGGTCTCCGGGCCAGGCACTCGCGTCTCAGGGAGATTCAGGGCCAGCCCCAGACTGATGCTGCTCTCACAAGAGAGATAGGAGAGGGACCCTCGTAGAGAAAACACGACACATGCCCCTCCAGTCCAGGGAACCAGGAGACCGGGCAGCGGGCTGGAGCTCTCCCACATGGCCCTTCTTCCTCCTGGCACCAGCCGTGCCTGCGGCCCAGCTGTTCCCAGCGTGGCTCATGTCCAGTGTACGGCTCCCCCGTCCTCTCCCTCCGGAGCATGGGAATGGGCTGCGAGCCAGAGGCTGTGGTCCCATCTTTCCCCTTGCCCATCACGGGCTTGGCCAGTAGGGCCTATGGACGGCCAGGGAGGGGAGCTCCACACAGGGGCCAAAGTCAAAGTGTTGGCCAGAGTCCAGGGGATTTCTGATCTGAGAACAAAGCATTCTGAGGATGCCGGGCAAGGGGACAAGGCAGGGGGTGGGGTGGGGAGAGAGCAGGGCCCAGACTCCCATGGAAGATGTAGGGAGGCGATTGGAAGGAAGGATGTTTGGGGATGAGCATGCCAAGTGGTAGGGAGGGAGTTTCCTTATCCTGGAAGTACCTCTAGCTCTTCCTCTTCAGTTACCCCTGCTCTGCTGTCCCCAATATTGTGTGTGACGACCCTCTGTGATGAATGGTGTGGCGGTGGGAACAAGAATTCTTTTTGCTAGACAGAGTTAGCAGGACTCACCCTTGGCTCATTGGACCAAGGCCAGTGAGATGGTCTTGCCTGAGGAGGGGTCTAAGGACACTCGAGTGACCCCTTCCCTTCCTGCCGACCCATCTGCTTGAACAATGCT